TCAGGATTCACAAAACTTTATTCATTTAGAATTAACAAGCTGTTCACATATCACTTAATATTGTTTCACAAGCTTGTAGGACATGGATTATCTTTGAGGAATTATTTTGATTTGCATGAAGTTTACAACTTTGTGCACAGTATGGTATTTTCCCTGTAAGTAAATAATGAGCAGTCTGAATTATCACATGAATTCTAAAACTTTGAGGGTTTTTTTTTTTAATTATTATAATGAAATACTAGCATGGTGAGATGTAATGTTTACAGTTTTAATCTGTCAGACCCATTTCCTCTAAAATAATTAGCTGAAATTATATGACATCACACTCGCTTCCATTAAAGCCAGACACAGGCAACTCTCATTTGTGTGTTTGATAGTGGGCGACCAGTGGTGCATGTCATCACGAACAGCACATAATCTCATGCTACATTGTTTGGGTATTTTATAATATATTTTCAAAATTTTTTATTCAAATATAAATTGACACACAGTGTTACATTTGTTTCAGGTATAAGAGGCTTATACTATTAAGCAGATCAAAATTTTAAATTATAAAAACAACCAGAATGAAAAAGATAATTAACTAGTTACTGCAACTGAACAGTAAATTTTTATTTAAGCTGCCTAAAAACCAATATAGAAAGCATATTTTCTATATTTTATAAAAAGAAAGTAGGGGCGCCTGGGTGGCGCAGTCGGTTAAGCGTCCGACTTCAGCCAGGTCACGATCTCGCGGTCGGTGAGTTCGAGCCCCGCGTCGGGCTCTGGGCTGATGGCTCGGAGCCTGGAGCCTGTTTCCGATTCTGTGTCTCCCTCTCTCTCTGCCCCTCCCCCATTCATGCTCTGTCTCTCTCTGTCCCAAAAATAAATAAAAAACGTTGAAAAAAAAAAATTTAAAAAAAAAAAAAAAAAAGAAAGTAAATGAGTACTTCTGGAGATAAAAAGCCTTTACTGGTACTGAACTATATCTGACTTCATAAATTCTTATTAAAAGTAACATGGGGGATGCCTGCGTGGCTCAGTCAGTTAAGCATCCTACTCTTGATTTCGGCTCGGATCATGATCTCACAGTTTGTGAGACTGAGCCCCATGTCAGGCTTCTGTGCTGACAGCGCAGAGCCTGCTTGGGATTCTCTCTCTCTGTCTCTCCCTGCCCCTGCCCATGCTCTTTCTCTCTCTCAAAATAAATAAACGTTAAAAAAAAAAAGTAACATGGGGTATCACAGTAGATAATATCTCAGACATTTCAGTTATATAAAAAACCACTCAACTGAAATTTGGAGATACTAGGAAAATAAAGTTTTCCTTTCTTAAGTTTTCCTTTCCTTTTTGTCAACATGAAGATAACCTTATATCAAGACCAGAATCCAGATATCCAGATAATAAGCATAATAATATTCTAATGAGCCACTTCACTCATGGCTGCCTTAATTCTCAAGGGTTACTAATTTTACAATATTCTGTGAGGTGAGAGACATGCATAATTTTACTTCAGGTCCTAGGTAATACAAAGAGAATAAAAGAATTTAGGTGCTTCTGTCCAGGCCTTTTTCTCTGCTGCTCCAACAATTCTATGGGTATTCTTCCATACTTAGTGCTGAGGACTTTTTCTTTCTGTTCCTTGGAGAATAATCCATCCTTACCTCTTCAACCAAAGTCTCTAAGAGGAAGATTCCCAAATCCCAAAGATACCCAGTTCTGACAGCTTCCTAGAAAGACCATGTTAAATAATTGGTCAACCACTATTTTTACTTAGAAATTCTCACTGTCTTTTAAAATGTACAATATTTCTAAAAGCAATTCCCTCTTCTAAATAAAACCAGTGACTGTCAATGGTACCAAAATTCTTCTGCTCTCAAATTAAAAACCTTGTAATTGATTTCTCATTTTATTCACATCCCTCTCATATCTACTTAGTCCCCACATCTTATCATTTCTTTCTGTGTTTTGTTTTGTTTTGTTTTGCTTTTGAGAGAGAGCAAGTACAAACAGGGGAGGGGCAGAGAGAGAGGGAGAGAGAGAATCCCAAAAGGAGTCAGTACTGACAGCGCAAAGCCCAACGCAGGCCTTGATCTCACAACCTTTGAGATCATGACCTGAGCTGAAAATCAAGGGTAGGATGCTAAACCAACCAAGCCACCCAGGCGCTCCTCATTTCTCTTTTGAAGTCTCCATTCTCTCCCTTTGCCATCCCTCCTCTACCTATTCCAAGCCCTTACCATTTCATATCTGGATTATCACAACAGCCTCTCACCTGATCTGTTTCTACCCATACTTATCTTCTTACACTTGCCAAAATAAGCTTAGGTTTTATTTTAATCCTGTTACAGCCAGGCTCAAAAACCTTCCATGGTTTCCCAGTATCCTCTGGAAATGTCCAAACGCTTTGAGGATGAATCTCAGGACTCTGGAAACCTCTCTGCAGGGCACCTGTGCAATCTTATCACCCTTTACCTAGTCTATGCAAAGCCCACTTATCACCACTCTCTGAGTCCCCTGCTCAGGCCTGCCACTATTCTCACAGTAACACCCCATCTGAATTTATTTTTTCTTCTATTCCAGTGAAATCCTAGCTACAATTCCAAGTTCGACTTACTTTAGTTTTACTTCCTCTTTGAAGTCCTCTACTCAGAGTATAGCACATAGTGGTCTCTCCCTTAATTCAAGAAACATTTTAAATAGATAAGGCACTATAGGCATACAGATAACACAACTATTCCTGACTCCTTACCAGCACTACTTATTAAGCCTTAAAATATGCTTGACACAGTGCTAAATACATTATACATACTACCTAATGTCAACCTTTACAAAAAATCTGTGATGTACTACTATAGTATCATTTTATTTTTACTTATTTTTTTAAAAAAAAATTTTAACCCTTATTCATTTTTGAGAGACATAGAGACAGCGTGTGAATGGGGGAAAGGCAGAGAGAGAGGGAGACACAGAATCCGAAGCAGGATCCAGGCTCCCAGCTGTCAGCCCAGAGCCCGATGTGGGGCTCGAACCCACGAACTGTGAGATCATGACCTGAGCCGAAGCCGGACACTGAACCGACTGAGCCACCCAGGCACCCCTATAGTATCATTTTATAGATAAGGAGGATGAGACTCAGAGAGGTTAGATAACTTTCCTGGGACCAGAGAGTAATGGTGCTACCACCTGTCACTGTGCACTACTGCAGGGAGCTGTGAACTGCACAAGTTGTGTTGTTATCCATAGCAGAACTGGTGGGTGAAAACCTAGGATGGTCTGATTCCACAGACTGTGCTCTTAACTATTACATTATACTGCCTCCCCAAGGATCCAGCTGGCAAGGAGATTACAATCTGAATTCTAGTTGCTATCACAACCACATTTTTCTTTTTTTTAATTTTTTTTAACGTTTATTTATTTTTGAGACAGAGAGAGACAGAGCATGAACGGGGGAGGGGCAGAGAGAGAGGGAGACACAGAATCGGAAGCAGGCTCCAGGCTCTGAGCCATCATCAGCCCAGAGCCCAACGCGGGGCTCGAACTCACGGACCGCGAGATCATGACCGGAGCTGAAGTCGGACGCTTAACCGACTGAGCCACCCAAGCGCCCCACAACCACATTTTTCAAAACCATAAAGTGAAATACACTATTAGCAAGACAGAGAATTAGAAATTAAGATATCCGAGAAAGCCTAGGATATATAGATGCTATATCATTTACTAATAAAACTATTTATTAATAAAACTATTCTTACTGAATATATATATCTAGCTTTCCAGAAAGTAGAGCTCAAGTTGGGAACAAAAAACTCCACAAAAACCTGCTGAGCTCAGGGCTCCTGGGTGGCTCAGTCAGTTGAGTGTCAGACTCTTGGTTTCGGCTCAGGTTGTGATCTCAGGGTTCGTGAGATCGATCCCCACATTGGGCTCTGTGCTGACATTTGTGGAGCCTAGTTGGGATTCTCTCTCTCTCTCCCTCTCTCTCTGCCCTTACCCTGCTTGTGCTATCTCTGTCTGTCTCAAAATAAACAGATCAACAACAACAACAAAACCTGCTGAGCTAAACACTTACTCGGCAATGCTAAAGGCAACATTAAAAATCAGAACAAGTGGGGCGCCTGGGTGGCTCAGTCGGTTAAGCAGCCGACTTCGGCTCAGGTCATGATCTCGCAGTCCGTGAGTTCGAGCCCCGCGTCGGGCTCTGTGCTGACAGCTCAGAGCCTGGAGCCTGTTTCAGATTCTGTGTCTCCCTCTCTCTGACCCTCCCCCGTTCATGCTCTGTCTCTCTCTGTCTCAAAAATAACTAATGTTAAAAAAAAAAAATTAAAAAAAAAAAAATCAGAACAAGTGAGGGGTGCCTGGGTGGCTCAGTCAGGTAAACGTCCTACTTCAGCTCAGGTCAGATCCCGTGGTCTGTGAGTTCGAGCGCCACATCGGGCTCTGTGCTGACAGCTCAGAGCCTGGAGCCTGCTTCAGATTCTGTGTTTCCCTCTCTCTCTGCCCCCCCCCACTCATGCTCTGTCTCTCTCTCAGTAATAAACAAAAGTTAAAAAAAATTTTTTTTAAGCAGAACAATTGATCTTCTTTCCTGTCTTAATGTTTTCATGTTAAACAAGGCTCCATACCTCTTAGCCACTTTATTTTTTCTTTCTTTCCGTAAAGGTATTGACATTCATTTGCCATTACACTGTCCTAGTTTCCAGTTCCTATCTCCAAACATCCCTTCATTTGACCCAGCCCGACATTTTAATGTACTTTCCACAATAAAAGGTACCCCAATTGACTGTTGATTCTTCCTTATGAAATTACTGATACTTTAGTATTCCAACTTGGTTTGCCCTATTGTTATTGTTATAGCTTTATTATTGTGTAGTCAATATGTTTTACAATTCTGTAACTAAATTTTAAGGTAGTGACCCCAATTCAATTAATATTGTACAGGAAAATAAATTTTAAATCTTCATAAAGGGCACTTATGATTCATATACAGCCTATAGTTTGGCTTACTCTGAAGCACTTACATTATTATTGTGAAGATATTCAATTGCCCGAAGGATCTGGAACAGGTATTTTCTAAGTCGTTTACTCTCCAGTCCGTGACAATAATGTTGTAACTCATCTAATACTGTGTGGTCAATAAATTCAAACACCAAATGAATTTTCTTTTTCTGTCTAAAAACTTCAATCAGATTGACCAGGTTTTCATGATGAAATTGCTATTGACAAAATAAACAGATTTTTAATAATTATTACGTGCACAATAATTTGTACATATAACACATATAATTCTAAAGTTTATTTATTTTGAGAGAGAACGTGCATACACGTAAGGGATGGGCAGAGAGGGAGGGAGAGACAGAATCCCAAGCAGGCTCTGTGCTGTCAGCAGGGATTGATCCCACAAACCATGAAATCATGACCATAGCTGAAATTAAGAGTCAGATGTTTAAACAGCTGAGCTACCCAGGTGCCCCAAGATGTATGGAATTTTAAAAAGCAAAAATATTCTTAGCTTCTTTTACTCCATGCATTTCAATAGAAAATTTTCAACTTATTTGCTTACATTCCTATTTTCTAAAATGCTAAACTTGGGGCACCTGTCTGGTTCAGTTGGAAAAACATGCAACTCTTGATCTCGCAGTCTTGAGTTTGAGCCCCACGTTAGGTGTACAGATTACTCAAAAAATAAACTTAAAAAAAATTCTAAACTATTTCATAATTAATCATATAAAACAAGGGGAAATGTACTGCCTTACTTGAGGTTGGCATTTGATTGCTTACTAAAATAACTTGGTTAGTGTACTATAATACAACTTGGTATTATCCTTTCACTTGGTTTATAGTTAAATTTAATATCTGAAATTTAAAATGTTTTTACATCTTTGGGCGCCTGGGTGGCTCAGTTGGTTAAGCATATGACTTCAGCTCAGGTCATGATCTCACGGTTTGTGAGTTCGAGCCCTGCATCAGTCCCTGGAGCCTGCTTCGGATTCTGTGTCTCCCTCTCTCTCTGTCCCTCCCCTGCTCTGTGTGTGTGTGTGTGTGTGTGTGTGTGTGTGTGTGTGTGTGTGTGTCTCAAGAATAAATAAACATTAAAAAAAATTTTTTTAAATAAAATATTCTTACATTTTCAAGCGAGCATGGATTTCAGTGCCATTCAGTACATGATATGAATTTTAAGAAATTATTTTATTAGTTTGATCCTAAAGTCTCAAAAGTAAAACTTAAGTTCCAAGTGGACAGTATAAATTAATAATACTAGAACAAGAGCATCAAAATATCTAGAACCCTTTCAGATATGTGAAAAAACAATTTATAGCTATAGGAACTTTATAAAAATATACCACTGTTTGTGGATACCTTTTTGTTCACTGTCTGTAATATTCTATTAAGCAATAAAACATCTTTTTAAACTAGTAACACTGTTAAAATAACTTCCAAAGAGTAAAAATGGCATGTACCAGCCTAGAAAACAAATCAGGCTCCATATTTTATGCTGCTTACTTTAGTTTTTAACACACTGAATTATTACCAAATATTCTCAAATATTTAACATTTTCTTTTTTTTTTTTAATTTTTTTTTCCAACGTTTATTTATTTTTGGGACAGAGAGAGACAGAGCATGAACGGGGGAGGGGCAGAGAGAGAGAGGGAGACACAGAATCGGAAACAGGCTCCAGGCTCCGAGCCATCAGCCCAGAGCCCTACGCGGGGCTAGAACTCACGGACCGCGAGATCGTGACCTGGCTGAAGTCGGACGCTTAACCGACTGTGCCACCCAGGCGCCCCAACATTTTCAAATTACCAAAAACGTTTATTCATTTGGCTAAAAACTGAGAGGTACAGGGGCTCCTGAGCAGACTCTTAATTTCTCAGGTCATGATCTCAGTTTCATGAGATCTAGTCCCACATCATGCTCTGTGCTGACAGTGCATGGAGACTGCTTCTGATTCTCTCTCTCTCCCTCTCTCTCTCTGCCCTTCCCTGCTCACGCTTGCTCTCTTTCAAAATAAATAAATAAACTTAAAAAATTTAATTGAGAGGTATATTTTCGATGTTAGATTCATTAGAAAACTATGATTTTATGAAAAAATATTTGCCTTTATTCTAATGGCACAATATCAATTTTTCGACTTATCTGCACTAACACATAGACCTAAGTCCTTAAAATATGACCAAGAGAAAAACATGCCAGAATATAATGCCAGATTCCCTTCCTATTTTTGTTCCCAATTTCCCTGATTGGCAAGATGCCAAAATGCTGCAGTGACAGCATGCTGGCAGTATCAAGAACAATTGACTGGTTTTGGACACTACTCTACTAACCCTTCAACTAAAGAAAATTACTGTTTCCCTGTCCAGTCTTTATTTTAAAGGCAAAAGCAACAAAGAGTTAATGTGAGTTAATAAGCACCATGGAAGATCCACCCAGGGTAAGGAATCAGGTGTTTTCTCAGATAAACCATGAAACTCCTATAAATGCTCCATTGTCACTTTTCAAATTGTTTACTTTTGTCTTGCTTCATAATCAGATAACTTTTCTACAGATATTGTCACTAATTACTCTAACTGTAATTTATTAAACAAAATTCTAGAAGATAAAAATTTAATTCAAATAAATAAATCACTATGGCAATCTTTTTAGACTAAAAATGTGAAATAATCCAAGAACTCTCTCTTGTTGGGTTAGATCAAACAAAAACTTCTGTAAGAAATAAGCCAATGAATAAAAAATTTTTTGAAAAAAAAATAAGCCAATGAAAATAAATAGCTAAGGTATCTCAAAACAGTTTGTATAATAACAATAAAGTACATTTTCAAATTCATCTCTGTGTTCTTGCCACATATTGGTTGTTTTACAAAATGATAAAGTAGAAAAAAATAATCACCTTAAATGTAACAGAGTTGAATAAAGAGCAAAAGATATTGCCTGTGAAAAGATCTTCTGATCAGATTTTCACTTATGATGTACAGTAACTGCCTTACATTATTACTGTTTTAGGTGATCAGGAATAGGACTGGCAACTCACAAAATCATAACATCTTTACTGACTTTAACTGCTTTCCATTGTCTAGAGACAGAGCACTTCAACAATCCACACATATAGATGCCTAATATACTTATTCTACTTAAAAAACAAATTGGAGTGTCTGGGTGGCTCAGTTGGTTAAGCATCCTACTCTTGATTTCAGCTCAGGTCATGATTTCACAGTTCATGAGATTGAGCCTGCATCAGGCTCAGTGCTGACAGTGTGGAACCTGCTTTAGGATTCACTCCCTCTCTCTCTGCCCCTCCCTTGCTTTCGTGCACACTTGCGAGCTCACACTCTCTCTCTCTCTCTCTCTCTGTCTCAAAAATAAATAAATAAACTTTTAAAAACATAAAAAAAATTAAAAAAACAAATTCACCCATCATATCTAATATAGGTTTAAAAAGAAAGAATTTCAAAGGGCTAGAACAAATAATCCTAAAATTTGTATAGAATCACAAAAGACCTCAAATAGGCAAAGAAATCTTGAGAAAGTAGAACAAAGTCTGAAGTATCACAGTCCCAGATTTCAAGATATACTACAAAGCTAGAGTATCAAAACCATATGATATGGGTACAAAAAAATTATACATAAATCAAGAGAACAGGACACAGGATCAATGAACCACAAAGATAAATGGGAGTGGCACAAAAACTGACACACAGGTCAACACACAACAATTGACCTATATGGTCAATTAATTGACAACAAAGGAGGTAAGAATGTACAATCAGGTAAACATAATCTTTTTTTTTAATGTTTATTTATTTTTGAGGGAGAGAGAGACAGAGTGTGAGTGGTGGAGGGGCAGAGAGAGAGGGAGACAGATTCTGAAGCAGGCTCCAGGCTCTGAGCTGTAAGCACAGAGCCAGATGCAGGGCTCTAACTCACGAGCCATGAGATCATGACCTGAGCTGAAGTCGGAAGCTTAACTGACTGAGCTACCCAGGCACACCAAAACATAATCTTTTTAATAAATAGTACTGAGAAAAGTGGACAGCTATATGCCAAAAAAAATGAAACTGCACCGCTTTGAACACCATACACCAAAAAAAACTCAAAATGGATTAAAGACCTAAATGTGACACCTGAAGCCATAAAATTCCTAAAAGAAAACATTAAGCAGTAATCTCTTAGAAACTCCCCCTTAGCAATGTGTTTATGAATCTATCTCTTCAGGCAAGGGAAACAAAAGCAAAAATAAATAAATGGGACTACACCAAAATAAAAAGCTTTTACACAGCAAAAGAAACTATCAACAACAAAAAAAGGCAACTTAGTGAAAGGGAGAAGATACTTACAAATGATGTATCCATAAGGTGTTAATATCCACCATATATACACAACTTACACACCTCTACAGTAAAAAGATAATACTATTTAAAAATGGGCAAAGGACCTGAATAGGCATTTTTCCAACCAAGACATACATATGGCCAAGAGGCACATAAAAGATGCTCAACATCACTAATCATCAGGGAAATGCAAATCAAAACCACAATGAGATACCACCTGACACTAATCAGAATGGCTAGTATCAAAAAGAGAAGAAATAATACGTGTTGGCAAGGATGTGGAGAAAAGGGAATGCTTGTGCTGTGTGTGGGGACTATTAATTGGAGTAGCTACTGTGGAAAACAGTATGCAGGTTGCTCAAAAAATTAGATGTAGAAATACCATATAATCCAGTAATTCCAATGCTGGGTATTTGCCCAAAGAAAATGAAAACATCAGTTCAGAAAGATACATGCACCCTGTTTACTGCAGCTTATTTACAATAGCTAAGATATGGAAGCAACTTAAGTGTCCATCCATAAATGAATGGATAAAGAAGATGTGATGTATGTGTGTTCATACACACACACATATATATATATATACAACAGAGTATTACTCAACTATAAAAAAGAATGAGATCTTTTTTTAATTTTTTTTTAAGTAATCTCAACACCCAATGTGGGGCTCAAACTCACAAGTCTGAGATCAAGAGTGGTACACTCTACTGACTGAGCCAGACAGGCACCCAAAAATAATGAGATCTTAATATTTGTGAGAACACGAATGGACCTAGAAGGTATTATGCTAAGTGAAATAAGTAAAAAAAAAAGACAAGTACCATATGATTTCACTTATACGTGGAATCTAAAAATTACAAAACAAATCAACAAACAAAAAATCAAACAGACTCTTAAAAACAGAGAACAAAATATTGGTTGCTAGAGGGGAGGGAGGAACAAACTGGTGGATGCCAGAGGGGAGGGAAGAGAGTGCATGGGCAAAATAAATAAAGGGATTAAGAGGTACAAACTTCCAGTGATAAAACTAAAAAGTCATAGAGATGAAAACTATAGCATAGGAAATATGGTCAATAATATTCTAATGACATTGTATGGTGACAGAGGATGACTACACTTGCCGAGGTGAACACTGAGTCACGTACAGAATTGTCACTACTATAACATTGTATGTTCAATATACTTCAATTATAAAAAAGAGGCAAATATTACTTTCATATCATATAAAAATGAACGAGAGTATGTTTTCTTCATCATATAAAACATCTAGACTATGTTGTGAAAGTCATAAACCTTAAAGCATCTAGACAAATTCCAATAAATAAAATATGTAGATTTAAAATTTTTTTAATCACTAGTTTTGTACCTAATCTCCAAAGAATGCTAATCCTCCTTTCTTCACACTCCTGAGTTCTTTCCCCTGGGTTGACCTGTCATACCCACACAAAATTCTATCTTCTGCCCCCATCTCTAAAAGCACACTAGTCATTTTTACTTAAATATATTCCTGTCACCTCAAATTCAACATTTCTAAAAGTGAACTACTTCCCAGACCATTTCTTTTTTGGGTCTTTCATATTTCCATCAATGATAACAGTCACTGAACTTCAATTCTTTTTTTCTCCTCCCTTTGTTTCCTTCTACATCCTTTCATGTCTTTTTTTTTTTGAAATGTATTCTATTTTAACTTTACTTTTCTCACTTTAAATTCAAATTGCTGCAATCCAGCAAGGGCTCTCGTGATATTTACCAGGATTCTTGAATTAAATTTATGAGCTCTCGCTATTTTTACTCAGTCCTCCAATCTATTCTAAAAAATAGTGCTAGATTAATTATTTTGAATTCAAAATATTCCACCTCTTACAAAATCAAGTTTTGTCCTTTTTTTGTGTGTGTGAAATGACATCAGTTTTGTTTTGTTTTTTTTAAAGTTTTGGTGTTTTGTTTTTTTTTTGAGACAGAGAGAGACAGAGCATGAATGGGGGAGGGTCAGAGAGAGGGAGACACAGAATCTGAAGCAGACTCCAGGCTCTGAGCTGTCAGCACAGAGCCCAACGTGGGGCTCGAACTCACGGACCACGAGATCATGACCTGAGCCAAAGTCGGACGCTTAACTGACTGAGCCACCCAGGTGCCCCAAGTTTTGTCCATTTAAGAAAAGACTTGGGGCACCTGGATGGCTCAGTGGGTTGAGTGTCCAACTCTTGATACTGGCCCAGGTCATGATCTCATGGTTGTGAGATGGAGCCCTGCATCAGGCTCTCTGCTGAGTGTGGAGCCTGCTTGGGATTCTCTCTCTCTCTCTCTCTCTCTCTCTCTGCCCTTCCCTCGCTCTCTCTCAAAATAAATAAACATTTAAATAATTTTTAAAAGACAAGACTTTAAAACCTAACTCCTGTTTACTTCTCTAATATCACCTCCTTCTACTTCTTTACAAAAAAACTCTACAGGCAAAAGTCTCTGGTCTCTCCTCAGAACTACTTGGGCATCTCTGAGTTTATGTTGTTTCCTAATGTGGAATAAATTAGTTTCTCTCTCCTGCCTAAATTCTGTACATGCTTTAAGGCCAAATTCATGTTCTATTTCCTCCAAGAAAATTTCTCTACCCAACTGGCCTTTGTGTTAATCAACTGGCATTTATTATAAGCCACTTTCTATTCAGTATGGTTTTCAAGTGCCCTCCCATATTTCTGATTAAATAGTAAAAAGTTCTGAAAAGGAGGTACTGCATTATAATCTCAGCATCTGGCAAAATGCCTTTCACAAAGCAGATATTTTTACTAATTATTATACCTGCATATTTCTGAACAAACATTTCACAACACTTGGCATAACTTTTGTTACATTATACATAAGCATATATATCTTGTATTGCTATAAAATTTCAAAATACACACAATAAGGTAGGGTACCACACTTTATGCCTACTATATGTCTTAATATATGTGTTAAATAAAATAGTCCTTTTATAATTTTTTACTATACAACAATTCCTCTTTGACTTAAAGCAACTAAGGTAAAAGAAACAAACCTTTAAAAACTTTATTTCTCTCGTTGCAATTTTGTTGACAGATTTTTCTGGTTTCTCATAAAATATCTTAATGGCCACTATCTGCCCAGTATCCTTATGTTTACATTTCATGACTGTTCCATAACTTCCCTCTCCCACTTTTCCGAGAGTTTCATACATCTCCATTTTCAAACCTGGATTCTTCTTCATAAAAATAAAGAAAGAAAATGTTAAGCATTTGTACTTTTATTTATTCAAGCTGCGCAATGCATTTCCACAATAAACCCGTATTTTAAAATACCTAAACATAAAAAAATATTAATCTTTTCCACAGACTCTTGTTTGTCTTTGGGACTCTGCCACCTGCAGACAGTAGGGTGTCCTTGTGGGGCTCCAGCCTCACCAGAACTTAGAGATCTTCCTGCTGTCTCGGTCATTCCCATGAACACTAAGATTGAAGATTCCTTCACTACATGTCACCCATCAGGAGTGGGGTCCGCACACTTCCTGTCATGCGCCCGTCAGGTATGGGGGTTCCCAAAATACTGCAGTCACCTACAGGTCAGACACCGGACCCAAGAAAACCTCAGCCCCACCCGCTCCTCAAACCAGATACCCGGACCAGTCGCGCCCTTCTTCCCGAAGTCGACCTCATCCAGTCAACCACCGACGTCTCAGCCCATTTTGTAATGCCGCCAGTCAGGTTCCGCGCAGACCCAGCGGGTCAACTAGACACTGACCCTACTTATCTCGCCTGCCCAGCTAAATCCCGGCAGGCCACTACCATGGCAACGATGCAGCTGGCCTCACGCCCCGGGCTCTACTGCGCAAGACCGGAACATTGGCCCGACCCCACCCGACCCGGAAGAGCAAATGAGGCGAGGTGAAAGCGCTCAGAGAAAGCTTGCGTGGGGTGGGGTGGGAAGTTTATGGATTGAGACCAACTCACAAGGTTGGTTTTGAGCTGAGAGCGGGAGGACCCCCATTTTGACAGCACCCAGGGTCTTCACGTTTTCTAAGGAAGGGCCACAGAGGCGCCAGCTTGCCCGACCAGCTCTTAAATGCCTCCGGGCCAACGAACACCTGCCGCTGGTGCTGGGTCCTAAAAGGATACCTGGTGTCATTAAGCGGAGTCATCTTGTAAAACAAGTCTTTCCAAGGAAGTCTTGTGTAATTACAGTTGTCTAAGTTACCTAACGTTAAATTGCGTAGACCTCAGCCATTGACATGCATCCTTAAAACGCAGTTAAGATGGTTCAAGAACGTTTCTCGAACACCTATATGCTTAAAAAAATTTTTTTAATGTTAATTTATTTTTGAAGGAGAGAAAGCCTGAGCAGGGAGAAGGGCAGAGAGAAAGGGAGATAGAGAATCTGAGGCAGGCTCCAGGCTCTGAGCTGTCAGCACAGAGCCTGACGCAGAGCTCAAACTCACGGACTGCGAGATCATGACCTGAGCTGAAGTTGGACGCTAAACCGACTGAGCCACCCAAGCGCCCCTTTTGAATTTGTTTTTGAACTCATACTCCTCCTTTTTAAAAACGCCCTCTTGGGGCGCCTGGGTGGCTCAGTCGGTTATGCGTCCGACTTTGGCTCAGGTCACGATCTCGCGGTCCGCGGGTTCGAACCCCGCGTCGGGCTCTGGCCTGAGGGCTCAGAGCCTGGATCCTGCTTCCGATTCTGTGTCTCCCTCTCTCTCTGCCACTCCCCCGTTCATGCTCTGTCTCTCTCTGTCTCAAAAATAAATTAAAAAAAAAAAAAGTTAAAAAAATTTAAAAACGCCCTCTTTGGGAAAACAAGTAATTCAAAATTGGATAGACATACCAAAATTGCTTGACATATAAGGGGACAGCAAGAGAAAAAAAAAAGTTATTTAATTGCTTAAGAACTAGGCATTGGGTTCTGCTGGCCTACCAGCCTCCATAAACTGTCAATTTCCATAGCAGTTATACATTGCTAGATAAATGACATAATAGGGATTTTTTGCAGTTTATCCTCAGCATTTTCCTGCATGTAATCCTACCTATATGTCTTCATCTTTAGCTTTGGGGAGAATTATATATCAGGAAGACAAACAACATTCAGCTTTTGACTTACAGAATCACATGTGTGATGCATAGTAGAACCTATCAAGAGTTAGGCCTGTCTGCCTTGATCACCAAGGCAGTTATAAAAACAAAAGATAAAATTCACTGTTTCAAGAAAAGGAGGTAGCAAGAAAGTGGGTGCAATTAACCTTTTCTGGTTCCATGGAACTATTGGCAACTTCATGCAATACTTCCATTCTGCTTTGGGCTGAAGAATTAACCCAAAGGGTTATAAAGTGCTGAGAGTCCTGCAGACCTTTATTGGCCCTGAGGCCAGGCATTAAAGTAACTAGAGGGAGGGAAATGTCAGAATCCCCAAGGATCAACACCTCCTGAGCTCCCCGATGGGCGACAATTCAGGCCCATTTGCACCTTACTTGCTGGTGTACAAAACCTGAAACCAGTTATCCAGGTTAGATTTATAACCCCCCCCCCCCCCCACCCATGTCTGCAAAATTTCTTCTTCACATCTGAGTCATATTTTTAGGCTTTCTTGACAACCAATCACACTTCGAAGTGCTCTCTTGAGATCTCCTCTCCATGTACCCCATCTTAGCCAAATCCGTGGACTTTTACACAGTTTGACACAAACCCTCAAATGAGTGCAGCCCCGTGTTCAGAAAATGTCTATAGAGATTGTGAACAAACTTTTAAAAAATCTGTATACCATACTTTTTTGTTCTCAGAATTTCCTACCCTAGAAACCCCATTGTAATGCATGTGCCAGGGTATTTGGTGGCCTAATGGAAGCATTTCAAGGGATTTTACGTGGTGTGTGCCTCAGCATTCAATGCTGCACTTATTATAAAAAGCGGAGGTCCTCTCATTGCCCCATGTATCAGATTTGATAAGCAGTTGAACTAACCACAAAGGATTTTAAATCCATGTTATGTTTGACTTTGTTTTAATGAGTTAAGCAAAACGAGCTTTTGCTTAGGCCACAATCGCCGTCCCTGTTCAAACAAACCGAAGAGAAAACTAGTAAAAGTTTCTCCCGGCCCTCAACCCCTTAAATTTAACTACCAGCTCCAGAAATCTGACCGAGCCTCCGATTCAGGCGACACTCCCACGTGATGCGTTCTAATCGCGTCACAGGGACACGTGGTTCTAGATACTTCGTCCCCTCCCCCTCAGGGGTGGATTGTTGACAACGCTGCCGGCAGTCACGTGACCTTACGTCATCCCACCTCCTTTCCCTGAAATCTCTGGCCCCGGATGCGTCTTTCTGTCCCCACCCGGTCCAGTTTAAACTAGTGAAAGGGGGAGAAACATAATCGCGTTTCAGCTTTGGGATCTCATAATCCACAATCTACATCTCTATATCAGACAGAACTAATTTATCTATTATATCAGGAAGCCAAAATGGACAGAATCCTGCTAAAAACTACAATAACGAGCTCTCATACGCCCCGTACCCTTTTCCCACACCCCTCACTCCGTGGTACTGGCGGAGGGCGGAGGGATCTGGAGGCGGCGGAGGGAGACGTCATTGCAGGGTTGTTTGTGCAGCCTCGGCAGCGGTGGTGACCCACAGTGATTCGGCCGCCGCGCCGGGGGGTGGGGGGGCTGCGCGGGACTCTTTTCTTTCAGACTGACCGCGGGGCAGCTGGGGAGCATGTCGACTCCGGCGCGGAGGAGGCTCATGAGGGATTTCAAGCGGTAAGGCCCCTCACCTTGGCCTGGGTGACGGCTCCTCCCCGTGGCTGTGGGGCTGCTGGGCGGGGATCCGAGACACCTTCCTCTCCTAACCCTAAGAGGGCCGACTGTGGGCCCAGTGGACCCGACGGAAGCCCATTCCCCGTTCGCACTCCCCATCCTTCCTTCCTCGCTCTTCCTATTGAAGAAATTTTGATATCCCCTCCCCCAAAAGTAAAAAGATGGCTATGGACTATCTTAGGATGCCCCCGCTGCTCACTTGGGTCAGCTGCCGACGTCTGGCCCAAGAGCTCAAGCCTCATTCCCCCCGCCCCTGCACCCTGCGGTGCCTCGTCCCCCAAAAGCGAACCCTTGCAGTCTTTTTCCCTGCTTGTTGCACCAGTTAGTTTTGCTGGATGGCCCTGCGGTCTTCTCTGAGGGGCAGGGTTGGGACGAAAATTGCCCCCCCCCCCATTCTTTCTGCAGTGAGGGTGGGGTCTGCAGGGCGAGGTCCGGAGGTTAGTAACCCATCCTCCGAAACCCGACTCCCCCTCGCCCGCCCGAAAGGACCTTGAGAACTGGCTTAGAGACCTGGGACTCGGGCTGGCAGCCCGGGCTGCCAGTGCCTTCTGGAACTCAGCTCTGTGGCTTGGCGTATAAAGCCCTATCTATAGCCTCCAAAGTCTGGAAAAATGCCTTCCTTGAGACTGGCGCTAACCTGATACTCCCTGAGCCTCCTTCTGTAAAATAGGGTTTTGTTAAGAGGTGTTGGGGTTAGTGAGGAAGAAGTGCCTTTTTCTCAGTTGTTTACCTTTGATACTCGGAGGTACGGGGGAAAAAAACGGAAAACTGCACTAGATCCACTGCATATTTTTAAGTGATTTTCTGGGGAGACCTGCCCTGGTTGAGACAAAATATCCCGAAATATCCCGTAGCTGCTCAGGAAGTAACCTTTCAATTTCGCCATTAGAAAGCCATAGGTGAGGCATTGGGAAGCCATTGTTTTGAGCTTTGGATAGTTTATCATTGAATATATTCTAATTTAGCCGTTTACCTTTGGTGGATATGAAGCAGCATAATTCCTTTAAGGGTTCTGGTCATCGTGGCTTAATCAGATTGACTGAAAAGAACTATTTTTATGTAGACTAATTTGAAAGTATGTTACCTGACAATCACTACAGATTTATGTCTGTATATAAAATGTCTCCCTTATTTTTTTATTGAAATGACAGTCTGTACAAGGAGGTGCTCTGTTTGGTGCAAAAGTTGTCTTCTGAAACTTAAAACCAAATTTCACGTTCCGGTGATTGAAACCCAAATAATAAAAGTTCAGCTCCTTTCCATTGTTACTCTGGTTTCTTACTGCACTTTTCTGTTTAATTCTGAGTTGAACACATGGCACCTTTGGTAGTTTTCCAAGGGCTTCATGTTACAAGAATTTGATTATGACATGCTGGAAGGTAGCTTTGTATTGAGTCTCTTGATAATGAGAGATAGATTTAGCTATATTGCAGGTCTTTAAAATAGGGATTGATGAAAAAACCTATTTGAAGCTTCATTTCTTTAAAGGCTGTTGCTAATTGAAACAAATGAGATAAAGCTACTCTCCTGCCTAACACTAGTTTCCTGATTAAATTGAATATAAATGTTTTCAGCCATTTAGTGTTTGCCTTGAGGGTCCTTTTGGGGGGGGGGGTGCTGTTGCACAGGTAGCTGTGGTTAGGACTCACACAGTCTCAGCATGTTTATGGCAGCAAAATTGATGGTGCGTAAAAATATTTTTTGCATTCAGGGCTTTTAATTTTTGTTGTTGATGGCAGTCTGTACTTATCAGTTCTCGAAGATATGTCTTAACTTTGAACCTTGATATTTGAGGAGGGATGACTCCAAAGCCCTTTGGAATTTTAGATAATTTGAAGACGTATTTAATAAGT